CCATCCATCCATCCATCCATCCATCCATCCATCCATCCATCCATCCATCATCTCGGTTCACAACAGACATACCACAATTAAGCTCAGAATTTATGATGCTAAGTGGGGGGGAAAAACTGTTAAGTGTGTTTTGCCCCATTTAACGACTTTTCTTGCCATGTTTGTTAAGTGAATCACTGCAATTGTTAAATTAGTAACATGGCCGTTAAGTGAATCTGGCTTCCCCATTGACTTTGCTCATCAAAATGTGACAAGATCATCACATGATTCCGGGATACTGGAACTGTCATAAATGTGAGTCAATTGTCAAGTCTCCGAATGTCAATCACATGACCCCTGGGCATGCTGCAATGGTCATAAGTGTGAAAAATGGTCATAAGCCACTTTTTTCAGTGCCGTAATTTCAGCCACTAAATAAACCATCATAAGTGGAGGACTACCTGTGTATACTAGCCTTTTGTTTTCTTCTTTTGACAAAAGATTCACTCTTTAGAATAGGCCATGTAGCATCTATTTCCTTTTTATCAGAATTATAACTTAACAAATGTAGTCATTCACTTAACAACGGTGGCAAAAAAGGTTGTCAGATGGGGCGAAGCTCACTTAACAACTCTTGCTTAACAGAAATGTTGGGCTCTGGTGGTTGTGAGTTAAGGACTACCTGTACAGGTGCAAAATATTGCATAATTCAATATTCCTTTTATTTTGCTGTGTTTAATGCTAGGACAGGAATTCTGGGAGTTGAAGTCCACAGGTTGTTACAGGGGCCTAATTGCCCACCCGTTTTAGACTTAACTGGTTCTTTAATTCAGCATCTTAATCACTAGACCAAATGAGTATTTTGTGAATTAAGAGCCCTTAATTTTGTTAATTAAGAGCCCTTAATTTTATGAAAATTAAGACTTTTTCACAAGTCTTTATCCTGGTTTTAAATAAGCCTACATTGTCAGACATTGATTTGTCCCTCTACTCTTTTCTATCTCTACATGTCCCGAAAAGTGCCTTACTGTTTACGTCATTGCGTCAGCCGCCGCATGACATCACACGCTAGTCATCAGTTTGCTCCTTCCCAAGCGGTAAACAACCTTTCGTCACTGGTGGGTGTGGCTTACGCATATCCGACAACCCCGAATCCCATTGGCTCTTTCCACACCGGCTACATTACACGTCGAGCACCTCCTCCTCCTTTGAGCCCCGGATGTAAACAACTCCCCCCCCCCTCCTTTCTCCCCAGGTGGGAGCGTCGAAAGCATCCCAAACGTCCAAGCTTTCTCAACCTAGCCTAGTTGCGGCGATTGGGCAAGAAGGGAAACGTCGGTTAGAGAAGCGGGAGAGGGACAGCCACCCCCAGCAGTGTTGCCAACCGCCCTGCTTGCAAGCGGATTGGATCCGACAGCCGTACACGCCCGCCTTCCCTGGCCGACCATTGGCTGTCAGGGCGGCGGCCGGTGAGAGGGTCCCAAATATTGGTAAAGGAGGGGGAGAAAGCGAGGCTGTTCAACGGCAAGCAGGTAAGACGGAGGGGGGGGCAGGGGGAGGAAGCGCGAGCGGTGGGTGGGGCTTGTTAGGGAGGGGGGGAGGGGAAGCCAGGCTGGCAGGGAAGGTGGGGGGGAGGGTCGCGCGCGCTTTTGTGAGGGAGCCAATTTGACGTGTGGGGGGAAGTCGGGGGCCACGTGGGAAAAAGGGGGTGCCTGAGGCGGCGTCAGTTGGGGGAACATCAAGCCCCCGCCGAGATTTCCTTCTCCTTCCACGCCCCCCTTTTCTCCCGCCCCCCCACTCACGGCAGCCCTGCGAGGTAGGCCGGCCTCAGAAGCAGCGGATGATCCCGAAGCCCATCGTGCTGAGCCTGTGGAGATGCCGGATATGAAGCAACGGGCCGTCCTTTGGCTCCGAACCGTGGTTCTGGGTGGGTTGAGCTGAGGCAATTTTTCATGCTCCCCTCATGGCTGTGGCAATTAAAAGCCCCCCCCCCCGGCAATTTTGTGTGTCTGTGTACACACACACACACACACACACACACACACAATACATAATATACATATACACATATAATAGGTATGTATGTGTATGTATGTATATAGATATATGTATGTATGTATAGATATGTATATAGATAGGTAAAGATATGTGTGTGTATGTGTATTATGTGTGTATATATGCATGTGTGTGTATATGTGTGTGTATGCATATATATATATCTGCTGGTCTTGTAAGATCTTACATGGGAAAAGACCCAAATACAACAAGACCAGCATACCTTCAACCGTGAAAATCTACAAAAACATTATCTATCTATCTATCTATCTATCTATCTATCTATCTATCTATCTATCTATCTATCTATCTATCTATCTATCTATCTATCTATCCACTC